TGAGGGAGATTACAGAGAAGAATAAGCAGAGAGTAATGAGCTTCACCAGATCTTAACATAGACTATGAACATTCCTATGCCAAATGACTAGTGTCCTTAATATATAAAGAGTTCTTACAAATGAATAAAAAAAGACCTTTTAAAAAAACTTACTTTTTCATGTGTATTTGAGATAGAGAGATAGTGAGCTAGAGAGGGACGGCGGCGGGGGGAGGGGGGATTCCAATCTGCCTCCGTGCTGTCCGCTCAGAACCTGACGTGGGGCTCCATCCCAAGACCCTGAGATCATGACCTGAGTTGAAATCAAGAGTCAGACAGATGCTCAACCGACTGAGCCACCCAAAAAAGGCCCCAAGGAAAGGCCTTTTAAAAAACTTTTGAAGAAAAATGGGAAAAGGGGGTTCACCAAAAAGAGACACAAATGGTTTATAAATATGTGGGGAACAAATTCATGTTCCTTGTTCTACGTAATTTCAAGAAATCGAGGGGCGCCTGGGAGGCTCAGTCGGTTAAGCGTCCGACCTCGGCTCAGGTCACGGTCTCACGGTTTGTGAGTTCGAGCCCCGTGTTGGGCTCTGTGCTGACAGCTTGGAGCCTGGAGCCTGCTGTGGATTCTGTGTCTTCCTCTCTCTCTGCCCCTCCCCTGCTCATGCTCTGTCTCTCTCTCTCTCTGTCTCAAAAATAAATAAAAACATTCAAAAAATTTTTAAAAAAATTGAAAATCATGAGTTAGTATTCTTCAATGGTCACATTAGCGAAGCTCGAGAAGCTTGATCGTACATGGAGTTGCTAAGATGTGCGACAGTAGGGCCTCACACAGAGCCTCTTTGGAAAGCCGTTGGGCAGCATCTGTCCCAGGTTTAAATGCACACGCCCTTCCCTGCAGCCTGCCATCCTGGGAGAGTAGGTTCATGCAGATGTAAGTCCAGGCACGTTCACTACAGCGTCGGACGGTACATTCTTACAACGGAGTACGATGCAGCTTTTAAAAAGCCTGGGGCTTACTCCTAGGCCCGTGCCCAGGAGAAACGAAAACCCACGTCCACAAACAGACCCGTGCAGAGAAGGTAACGGCTTTATTGGTAATAACCCCACACTGGAACACCCCAAAGGTCCACCCAAGGACAGTAAACAGACTGTAGCCTGTTCGCACGACAGATCGCCACTCAGCAACAGCGACCAGCGTGAGTTACCAGAAGCATTCGGTTCAGCAAATACGTCAGACACAAGAGGGTGTGTACTTTACGGATCCGTGTGTGTATGAAGTTCAACGAGCAAAGCTAGCCCGCGGTAAGGGAGGTTTACGGGAACAGGGGCTGCCTGGGGGAGGGGGTGGGTTACGGGAAGGGCCACGGCCTTCCAGGCGGAGGGAGGCGGGAACGTAGGCCGGGGTAGGGGGTGGGGGCGGCGATGTCGCTTACAAGGTGTAGACGGTTGCTTAAAACACTGAGCTGTATACTCAAGACCCGTACAATTCACTGGATTTAATTTCACCTCAATTTAAAAACAAAATTAACCGCAGAATGGAAAGACATAGAAACGAGTCAAACCTAACATGCCCTGGAATGGAATGATCTCCAAATAAATTAAGGGGAGTGGCGGGAATAAGGACATTGCATACAGCATGCCCCGTGTGATAAGGAGGATGTACATCTATTTCAACAGCTCATATATACGAGATGTTTCTGGAAGGATGTGGAAGACACTGTTGGCGAACCCCTTTCCGGAGGGGCTGGAGGCCCTGAGGTCCGGCGTGGAGGGCACATCTCAACGCTGTTTTGTACCGTTGGAATTTCTTGTACCGTGTTGGTGTTAACTTTTTAAATACAAAAACCAGCCAGACTTTCCCAACCGGGTAACAGCATTCCGAGACTCAAGTCTGGGATTTCTCTGGAAGCGGGGCCATAAACGCTGCCTTACGGTGGCCAGCCGGGGGCAGCCTGCGTCGCTCAGGGTGGACGTGGGCATCTGGACAAGCAGACCAGGGAAGGGAGAAGCTGAATCCTGAACCAGGGAACCAAGAGAAATAAACCCAATACCGGACTGTGAGGATTTCAGCCCGAGATGGTCAGATTTCCACTGAAGAATGTGAAAACCCAGCTCGTGACACGGGGGGGCGGCGGGGGGGTGAGCGGGTGGAAACTTCTAGTTTTTGGTGTGTGTGTGAGAGGAAGCTTCCCTGGTGGGTTGGGAGGTACAGCTCCTAAGAGGCCATAGGACCTGAGGGAGAAGCACCTAGAAGAAGGGGTTCTGAGCCACGAGCAGGACCTCCAGGCAGTCCTGGGTCTGGTCTTCACTTTTCCGAGGACAAGCCACCAAGCAGCCCACTGAGTGTTCACTTTGAGGCTGGACTCCAGGCTGCCGAGCTCATCCCTGCTCGGGGCCCAGAGCAGATGACTCACTGTCCCTCGTCGGCCACCGTGGAACGGACGGTGGGGAGGAGGGACCGGTCACCCGTCCCGGGGACACGTCGGCTCAGTGGCCCTGCCAGTGGGGGAGGCTGGGGCCTTTCCCTGAGGAAGCTCTCGGCCTAGGGGACGGGGGTAGACACTGCACAACCTGGGCAATGCGCGGGACCCCCGTGGGGTCGTGAGTCCCCGGCCACACGGCTGAGAGAGCCGTCCCGGTCAGGACCGCGTGCTCAGTGAACCTCGGGCCCAAACGTCCAGGCAGGTGCCGAGAAGAGAGAACAAGGGTCTTGGGCAGAACCTCTCAGAGGCAAAATGTTGACGGGGCAGAGGTGTGAGAGGCCTTCCGGCAAATGGCGAAGACCGGGTGGGGGCGGCGGTGGGTGAGGGGAGCCGTGGGTCCCTTGGGGAAGGGCCCTCGGAGGGGCCAGAGCAGCCCTGTTGATTAGCGGCCCAGCAGCACCCCCACCGTTTTCCTGTCAGAACCCCGACGTTGTGGTGGGTGGAGGAAACGCGGGCCCACTCCCCAGGCCCGGGAGAGGGGTCCCGACCGGTCTCCTGACGTCCTGACGCCGCCCCGGTTGCCCTGGGTCCACGACCCGCCTAACGGTGGCCCGTGGCCACGTTGTGGCCGGCAGCCCCTGGAGGGGAGACTCGGGCCTTCGGAGAAAGCGTCTGCTTTCCTGGTAAACGGGGAAGACGCAGCAGACCTCACGCCCCCTTCTTCCCGCCTCCGGTGCCAGGGGCCGCAGGGGCAAGCGTCACAGTGAAAGCTCCGCGTGCTCGGGAGTCCAGGGCCATCGACCTCAGAGTTCCTGTCCCGGGGACGCCACACGCCCGACGGTTACTTTGCAGCCGGACGCAGTCCTGGCGGGCACTGGCCATAATGGGGCGCGCGCGGCTTCGGGAGAAGTTGTGTGGAAGCAGCCTGTGGTCAGGGTCCCCAGCCCGAGGGTCTGCTCTCCGGAAGCCCCCGCCCAGCTTCCTGTCAGCCAGCTGGAGCCCCCCTGCCCCCAGCCCCCAGCCAGGCCCCCTGGACGGCCTTCGTGACCTCGCTCACGACCACCCTCTGGGCGTGTCCACCGGCCGCACCCACAGCGGCCCCTCTGGCCCGGCCAACGTCCCAGCTCCCGGCCGGCGGGGGGCCCAGACCCTCGGGGCCGCCGGACAGGGGCACGGACACATCCCCTCACCTTGGAGGAGCAGCCGGCCGTCCTCACACTCTCCCCAACTGGACACTTTGCTCCCTCGGACACAGACGCCCCGTGCTGTCTTGAGCCCGCCTCTGAGGAGGCAGCGGTGAGGGCCCCGGTGCGACTCTCTTCCCCGAACCCGTGGCCCCCCACTGTCCCCGACAGGCCCCTGGGGGCCAGGCCCTTCTCGGCCAGATGGGGAGCAGTGGACACCAAGGTGGAAGGTCCAGATGGAGCCCTAACTGCCGCCAACCTGGACGCAACTTTGGACACATGACTTGGCCCCTCGGAGCCCGTGTCCTCGACAGACAAGTGAGGATAACACCGGCCCAGCCCATGTGGCTGCCGCGGGGACCCAGGTGCAGATCCCGGGGCAGCACCGGGGACGGGAGGTGGGCGGCCAGTAAGGCTCACTCACCCACCTGCCCCCTCCCAGAGCCAGCGCCCCTGTCCGTGGAAGGCACGCGGGGCAGGGCCCAGAACGATCCCCTCCCGGGAGCGTGGTCCCCGAGGGCGTTGCCCTGAGTCCTGAATGGTGTCCTGCCCTGAAAAATGCCGTCAAGGATCCTGACGTGCTTCTGCTTCCAGAGCGGCCAAGGAGGCTGGCGGGCGGGGGTCCCCGCGCCGCCCTGCCGTCCTCGCCCCCGGCGGCACCAGATGCTGTCAGCCCAGGGACCGCCGAGCACTGCTTATCCTCAGCTCTGTGGCCACCAGTCAGCGGCGGGGAGCTGAAACTCCGGCAGGGAGACCCTGTGGGGACCCGCTCTTGGCCGTCAGCAGCTGTGTCCATGCCGGGCCTGCGGGTGCAGGAGCACCCGGATCCCCACCGGTGGCCCCAAAGGGGCCACGGCCGCCCGTACGTGGAGTGCGGCCACGACCACGTGGGGTGTCAGGAAAAGCACCCCCAAGGCTGGGCTCACCGCCTGCAGGATCAGGGGTGCAGGGGGCCCTGGTCCGGGGGTCCGAGCATACGTGGGCCCGGACAACAGAAGGGGTGCGTGGGAGGGCTGCGCAAGGGTCCGCGTCGTCCGCTGACACGGGGCGAGGCCAGGAGGGGAGATTAGCCAGCGGTGTGCGGTGGCTAATGTCAGCCAAAGTCCTCACCCTCGTGTGGCCGCAACACGGTCCCCACGGGTCCCAGAGGCTCCGACCCCAGCGGCCGTCCCCGGGCCGGGTGGCCCCTGCCGAGTGACAGGAAGGAGCGGAGGAGCCCAGGAGACGCCGGAAGAGGGACGGGCTCTGGAGGCTGTTTTCTCGCTTCCCAAGCTGCGATCAGAGTCCCCCTTAGATGACGCCAGACCCCAGCCTGGGGCCGGCTGGCGGCCGAGCTGGGACAGGAGCCTGTGTCCTGATCCCTGTCCCAGGAGTGACAGCAGGCCCCCGGGAGAGTCCCCCCCTCTCCCGCCCTGCAGAGCCCTCCCCCCCCAGCTCTGCATGGAGCCCCCAGGCTGGGTCTCCGTGGGGGTGTGGGCATCACTGGATCGCTTTGGGGAGCGAACCCCAAACTTGTGCCGGGAGGTGTGCTGGGAGGTTCGTGTCCTCAGGAGGGTGGGGGCGGTGTGCCGGGTCGCGAGGCTCTCCCTAGGTCTCCGCGTGTGTCAGGTTAGCCCAGTCAGGGAAATGGTCCAAGTCAAAGATGACCCGTCCCCACGTGTTGACAGCCAGAAATACACAGAAGACTCCGATTATGTTCATCATGAGTCCTGTTTTCACCTGGAAAAAGACGGGTCAGAGTCAGCACCCCCGGGTGGGCCGGGCCGTCAGAACAGCCGTGACCGGCTGGTCTGCTGGGCTTCCGTCCCTGGGCCGTGCTCTGTGCTATGTGCTCAGCCGGCCCCCAGGCAGAGCAAGGCGGGTCGGCAGGTATCCTCGGTGCTCAGAGCCTCCGGGAAACCTCCACACCCAGGCCAGCATTTGGAAACAGCCTCGGGGAGGCGGCCTGAGGCCCAGCGGAGGCTCTGTGACCACGAGGGCCTTCCTTTCTGGCCTCCCCCTCCCATCCCAGGTGATGGAGCCAAAGCAGAAAGGAGGGGGTCGTCCTCTGTCTGCGTTTGCGTCCAGGACATACATCCCCCGCTCCCAGGCGGTGGCCTCTCTCGCCCCCTCCCTGCTTCTCCTGACTGTCCTCGCGGGCTCCTGCGGGTCTTGGAAGCCCGTCACGGCCTCGCGGGACCCCCGCCCTCACCCTTTCCGAGGGCTCAGTGAGGGCTCCCCAGGTGAGAGCTTCCACGCCTCACCTCCCACCTCTGGGGGCAGAGCGGTCCCCGGAACGTGAGAACGTCTCAGAAAAGAAGCAAAGGAGCACATGCATGCAAACGCACAGGTCGTGGCTGTCACCGGTCGGTACCCCTGACGCCAGCCGGGAGTCGTGCGTTACCATGTCAGAAACCTTGAGGTGTCCGTAAGCAAACACGATGGCATTGGGCGGGGTGGCCACGGGCAGCATGAAGGCAAAGGACGCGCTCAGGGTGCAGGGCAGCATGACGTACAGCGGGTTGAGGCCGATGGAACGTGACTGGGGAGAAACACGGCGCCACGGGTCACACACGCAGGCGCCGAAGGCTCCAGGGACCGTCTCTCTGAAACGCGTCCCCCTAATGCGCCCTGTGCCTCTGTCCCGCCGGCCCCTCTTCCTGTCGGCACGGGTCTCGATAAGAACCTTGCTGGGCCCTGAAGGCTGAACCCGCAGCCACCTCCCGGGGAGGCCTTCCCAAAGGCCCCCTCGGTCCATTCAACACCTACTTCCTGGGCACCAGCTACATGCCACAGACCATGCCGGGTGCTCAGGCCACACCGAATCTCGCGGCGTCCCCGCAGCCCACGTGAGCACATGGCTGTCCGCCTGCCATGGACCTAGAGGGCCCGCGTCTCCTCACCTACGCACACACGTGCTCTTACACATGTCTGGGATCGTTTTGCATACGGAATTCGATACCTCTTTTTACTCTACAGCTTAAAATTCAGCCACATCAGACAGCGCCCCGCACCGAGTGGATGTTCGTTAACTGTTTGCTGAATGGACGAATAAATACTACAGCTCACAATATTTGTTCGTGTCTATCGAAACTAGCGATGATCCCTCGTGCAGATTTATGTGCACGTGACGACAGACGCCTGTGCAACATTATATCAGCAAAGCACTCAGGAGACAGACTCATCCCTAAGCCGGTGGCCGCAGAAGCAGGCTGCTTAAATGAAAACGTACCTACAAACAAGGGGACAGCTTGGGGCTGTGAAGAATGACAGCACAGGAAAACAAAATTCAGGTGCAGAGCAGGACCACAGAATGAGGCCATTGGTTTAAAAAGAGTGTGTGTGTGTGTGTGTGTGTGTGTGTGTGATACATCCAGAAAGATACCTAAGAAATGAATAACAGAGGGGCACCTGGGCTCAGTCGGTTGGGCGTCTGACTTTGGCTCAGATCATGATCTCATGGTTCATGAGTTCGAGCCCCAAGTCGGGTTCTATGCTGACAGCTCCGGGCCTGGAGTCTGCTTCGGATTCTGGGTCTCCCTCTCTCTCTGCCCCTCCCCCGGTCGTGCTCTGTCTCTCTCAAAAATCAATAAACAGGGGCGCCTGGGTGGCGCAGTCGGTTAAGCGTCCGACTTCAGCCAGGTCACGATCTCGCGGTCTGTGAGTTCGAGCCCCGCGTCGGGCTCTGGGCTGATGGCTCAGAGCCTGGAGCCTGTTTCCGATTCTGTGTCTCCCTCTTTCTCTGCCCCTCCCCCGTTCATGCTCTGTCTCTCTCTGTCCCCAAAATAAATAAAAAAACGTTGAAAAAAAAAATTTAAAAAAAAAAAATCAATAAACATTTTTAAAAAATTTTAAAAAGACGTTAATAACAGAAATGGAAGCTGGGGGGTCAGGGTCTGGCGTTACTGGACATTTGTTAGCCACGTGTAAGTATCATGTTTTCAACTCTAAATACCCTTCAAAGCTGTGATCCCCCGCCCATGCTTGATATTTAATCTCCCCAATCCTCTGCTGTTATGAAAATATTTTTGTAACAAGTAACTCTGTGATGGATTGTTCTGGAATGAGCACCTCTGGAGATCTTCCCGAGATACATTCCCAGACATGAAATTGCTGGGGTGGACCTCAGGTTAGGGTTCCTGTGGGTAAACAGGTCTCAGGAAAGGCCACGCCCGGGCACACGCCCTCTGGGGAGGGCTGAGAGGCCCAGGCAGGGCCCCCGTCTGTGTCCTGACCCCCCTTTCGTCCTGGCCTTGGATGTGCACGGTGTATGCACCCCACGTGCCTCTGTGACCCAGCTTGGGGGTCGCCGCCTGCCCCCTCTCCTGGGGTGGGTGCTGAGGCCGGGGCTCCGGGGGCCTCAGAGGTACCGTGGGCTTCTGCTTCTAGGAAAGCCTGTCTTCCAAGGGCCTGGCCACACCCCCAGGTGAAGACCTCCAGTTGTCTGGCTCTGGGCTGGAGGCCTTTCCCGGGGACGGGGGGCGCTCACCAGTGCTGGCCCAGCAGGCTGCTTAGGGGAACCGAGTTCCAACACTTTCATCCCTGCCCGGAACGGAAGGACAAAACCACTGGGTTTTACTTCCATGCACGCGGACGCCGGGGCACAGAGTGGAAATCTACTGACTTGAATCCTGAGCTCTTGGCTCAGACTCCTGACTCCAGGGTGACAACCACGGTCTCTCCCAGGCTCGGGCTGTCGCCCACAGAAGATTTCCACGGCCCCCCTCTTACTTGGCCCTAACCACAGCTTGGACCCAGGTCCTCCGACCGCCAGCCCAGCCTCCTGCTGCACCACCCTGAGGTCGGGACCGCCGCGCGATGGGCGTTGGAAGGAAGCGTAAGAGATCACAGCCTCTCCGTGCCCTGCCTCCTCCTGAGTTCCGGCTCGCACATGCTTGCCCACAGCACAGACCTCTAGCCTGGCACCGCCCCCCGCCCCCGCCCTGACCGTCCTCTCCCTCCCGCCTCCCCAAGACCCAGTCCCCCAGGGTCTCTTCCTGGCGGCCCCGCCCGGCTGCCCTCGTGCACACCCCGGGCTACATGCTCCAGACCCTCCAACACCCCCATGACACTGGCCCGCAAATCCTGTCTCCTCAGCTTGAGAAATAACCAGCCACATTTATAAATGGATTTTGAGGGCCTGGTTCTTGCTGTGCACTTTGGGGACCGCGGAGGACCCGAGGACAGAGACCGAGGGTCATCAGAGGCTCAGAGGCCCAGGCCCGCAAAACGTGTTTGGGCTCCGTGCCTTCAGGGACCCAGGACACGGTCCCAGCTTGGCGGCTTCTTGTGCCATGACGGCTAAGGGTCCCCTTCCTGGTGGGTCACTCACCATGGAGGCGAAGATGGGCAGGAATAGGGTCGTGGTGGCCACATTGCTCGTGCACTCGGTGAACACGGCAACAAGCAGGGACAGGATCAAGGTGATGGCCGCCGGGGGCACAGAGTGCAAGGGTTCCATCTGCTCCCCCATCCATTCCGACAGCCCCGAGGCCTTGAAAGCAGAGGCGGGGGGGGGGGGGGGCAGTCACCAAAGGCTGCAGGCCCGGGAGCTCAGCCCCTCCTGCAAGTCTGACTCTCTCTCTGCATAAGAGCCATGGGTGGGCTCCACGAGGCCACACCCTCAATCCCTACCCTCGCCCTGCTGTCTCCTAAATCTGTTTCCAGCCCAGCTGGTCTATAACTGAATTTTGGCCCAGTGACACTCAACATGCCTCTACCTGAATTCACTCTCTCTGGCCCAGAGTCTGCTCCCCGGGGCTCCCATACACCTGCCGCCCACCCTGGGAAGCTGGACACCGCCCTGGGGTCCCTGTCCCCTTCTTCCTTATGCCCACTCAGCCACCCGGTCACCCAGAGCTCCTCATCACCATCTCCTCTCAGCCCCCGGTAGCTCTCCACGCTCAGGAGAGGGATCCGAGGCAGACACTGGGGATTTAGAGCAGGAGCGAGTCTCAGGAGAGAACAGCTCACGGGGCCTCACGCTCTGAGACTGGGTTGGACGACCGACTGTATGGGGCGCCTGCTGGATCTCCCTCAACGCCTCCCTGCTAGGTCTCCTCGACCTCAGGGTGTTTTCCCAAGTGCAGATCTGACTGATTCGCCGCGGCCACCACCCTTCAGTGGTCACCCACTGTCTTCACAGTAAGTTCACTCTCTCTGTTGTAACCCCCGGCGGAGTGGCTGCACCAGCCTCCTCTTCTGCTGCTCCTGCACTAGAAACGGCACACTTCCCCCTTCACTCAAGTGTCACTTCTCCCTGACATGCTTTTCCAGATACGTCCCCCTCGCCAGGCTGCAAAGGCCTCAAAAGCAGGGACATATATCAATCTCCTCTGTAATGCTCAGACTGATTTAACAGGGACATAAAGGGAATGTTTGATGAATGAATGAATGAATGAAGGAATGAATGAATGGGAGATAACAGATGGATGGATGAGGTGACCAGATGAATGCATTTGTTCATCCAAAAGATATTTATATCCTTGCTATGCACTGGGCTCTATTCTAGATGCTGAGGGAACAGCAGAAATAAGATAGACCAAATTTGTCCATGACATTCTATTCCTGGATGGATGGATGGATGGATGGACAGATGGACGGATGGAAGGGTGGATGGATGGATGGATGGATGGACAGATGGACAGATGGATAAATGGATGGATGGATGGATGGACAGATAGTTGGATGGATGGAAGGAAAAATAGATGGGTGGATGGATGAATGGATGGATGGGTGGATGGATGATGGGTGGATGGACAGATGGACAGAAAGAAGGATGGATGGATGGACGGATGGATGGCAGATGGACAGATGGATGGATGGATGGATGGATGGACGGACAGCCAGTTGGAGGGATGGAAGGAAGGAAGGAAGGAAGGAAGGAAGGAAGGAAGGAAGGAAAAACGGATGGATGGATGGATGGACAGGTGGATGGATGGACGGACAGTTGGATGGGTGGATGGATATCAGCACGAAGCTGGCTCATCTCTCCCTCAACCTTACTTCTTCCCTACTGGGGAGGAAGAGAAATAAGGAAGTTTCATTTGTGTGTGTTTTCTCCTAAACGCCAGTCCTCTCCTTCTGTGTTGCTACATACCTATGTAGAGAAAAATGCTTAAATGTCAACTGTATCAACAAGGAACTCATCAAGTAAAAGAACCAGGTGTAGTGGTGGAAGTGGTCACAGGGACTCGAAAGAAAGACCTCCCAGAACAAATCAAAGCAGACATCATTATCGCCAACCCCCGGGGCAGCCCTCACAGCGTCCCCTGCCTCTCTTGGTTAACTTATTCTCTTGGTCACTTATTCACTCGTTTCTGCAATTTTTCAAAGAGCACTTTCTCTCTTCCAGGCACTGCCCGTGTTGCAGGACCTCTCGGTGACGAGACAGAGTCCCCTGTCCTCAAGACGCATGCAGTTCTGCGGAGCAGACACAGAGCCACAGAGCACAGAGCAGGGGTGTGGGCAGAGGGACACCTCAGGTCTCTGACGCCGTCTTGTGCAAGAGGGGCCCTGGCAGCCGGCAGCCGGGGGCGTTACCTCACATCCTTTGGCCAGTGCGAAGCCGCCCCCCAGCAGCAGCACGATGCCCCAGGGCACTTTCTCCTGGGTCACCTTCCAGGTCAGCAGCGCAGGGGGATAAAATGGAGCTTTCCTTTCTGGGAAGAAACAATAAAAGACACACATACACAAGCCAGAGCGGCAGCGGGAAGCAAAAGAGGTCGATTCCAGGGGATTCAAAGCCTGTGTGGACCAGGGACGCCCTCCCAGAGCGAGGTTTCACCTCAGCTGAAACTCACAATGAACGCCACACCCAGTGCTGGTGAAAAATGCTGGGTAACGCTGTCACCCACTCCTGGGGAGCATACGCATTGGCCCAATCTTTTTGAAAAGCCATTTGGCATATATACCCTTACAATAACACGACTCCTGGAAATTTATCCTAAAGAAGAAACACCTAGGGGCGCCTGGGTGGCTCAGTCGGTTAAGCGTCCGACTTTGGCTCAGGTCATGATGTCACAGTTCGTGGTTCAAGCCCCACGTCGGGGCTCTGTGCTGACAGCCCGGAGCCTGGAGCCTGTTTCCGATTCTGTGCCTCCCTCTCTCTCTGCCCTCCCCTGCTCATGCTCTGTCTCTCTCTGTCTCAAAAATAAATAAAAACATTAAAAAATTTTTAGAAAAAGAAAAAAACACCTATGCACCTGAAAACACTAATTGATAGCAACGGAAAATTCCAAATGGCCAGAACATTACACAAGAGAGAACAGTTCCGCCCGTCGATGCGCTACGATGCCGTAATTAGAGAAAATGGATGTGAAGCCTGTGGCATTAACAGGAAGTGATCATACCGTAAAGACACGAAAACCCAAACAACCGAGAACCGGAATCTGAGCGGCCCGTGTAACACACATGCATCCCAGCAAAGACCGGAGGAGAGAAACCGGAAAAAGCATGGATGGCCTTGCGGGAAATTGGAAACGTCTGTCGGTTCTCTTATAATATTGCCAAGGTTTCAAACGTTTGGAGGGCACAAGAGAAGAATTTGCAGAAAACAGTCCCCAGGGAAGGCCTGACGAACGCTCCCGGGGCCCTTACCCTCCTCCGTCTGGCCACGGAAGTTGAACTGGGGCCTCTGCGAAGGCACTACGAACAGCAAGGTGGCCACAAAGGTGGCCACGGTGGCGTCAGACGCGTACCTAGCAGAGAGAGCACACGGACGTGCCCAGCTCAGTTTTGGGACCATCACCACTCGATGAGCCTGCTCTGCGTCTACAGGCTCAGCCGAGCGTGAGGACTGGAGCCCTAAGGGCCGTGTAGACGGAACCCTGGCTGGAAACCAGGATGTCCACGTCTCTGCCCAGCTCTGCCCCCAGCTGGGTGACCCTCAGCCGCTGGCTTCCCTCTCGGTCTGTGCTGCTCCGTGGACGAGCCTCATGACCTCTGCTCATCAGACTCTCTGGAATCCTGGGTTCACCAGGGTGCCCACGAGGGCTTTGGTGATAACTCAAGAGCCTTCAAATGCCACAGGTGGCCACAGGCAGCTGTCCGCCCGCCCGCATGGCCTGCCTTGTCTGGGACACGGGTGTTTCTCAACCTTGCTTCCTTCTGGCCACAGAACAGCTCAACCTGGAGGGAGGCAGCACACATCCTCCGGGCCAAAGAGGCCCTGGACCCCGGACTCCGTCTGCTTTCAGAGGGAGGAGAGACGGCAGAACGGAAGTTTGCAAGCTAGAGCTCCGGGCCCAGCAAGTCTCTCTCCGTCACATCCCGGCCACCCTGCCTGGCCAGCGGGAACTGTCTGCGGGCCTGTCGCGAGGACTGGGGAGAAGAGAACCGGCCGTGAACCGAGGCAGCGCTGCAGAAGTCACGCGCGGGGCCGGGGAACCCGTAACTTACTTTGTCTCGCCCTCCTCCCAGGCCAGCGACACCCAGCCGGGCATGAAGCCGGGGTCCCGGGAGAACCACAGGCCGACCAGCAGGAGGAAGCAGAGCAGGACGTTGGCCTCGGCGAAGGAGAACGGCCCCAGCTTCCTGTACTCCCGCCGCAGCAGCTCACACACGGCCTTCTCGTGATGCCTGCTCTCCAGCCCACAGCCCCAGGACGCCTTAAAACTGGAGGTGCAGAGGCAGAAGGCGGCGAGGCCGGCCGGACAGTCAGACGGCGCTGCCTGTCGCCCACGGCGGCCCTCACCTGCCGGCCCTCCCCCGCAGGGCGCGGGGCGGGAAAGTCTCCGTTAGGTGTGCCCAGCGCGTGGCCCAGGGCGCCCCCAGAGCCGGAGGGGGCTCCCCGGGAGCCTGTGGCCACGGCCACCGCAGTGCGCCCTGCAGGACCTCCCCCGGAGGTGCTGGCACGAGGGACGAGGAGGAGGAGGGATCCCTGGGCAGCTGTAAGGGTACCTCAGCCGTGGGAAGGGCCGGCCAGGGCCACAGGGCCCCGGACACGGGCCCACGGGATTCTCCGGGCATTCCAGCCCCCGTCAGCCTGAAGGCACTGGGCGAGGCCAACAGGACTGTCCCTGGAGAGCCCTCCCTGGCGGGAGCGCCTCCTGACCCCTGGGGCACACTTCCCGGGAGGGCAGGGGTGCACGGAATCGGCACCAAGGGCCAGTCTGTGAGCTATTCTCGTGACGCCGGCTCCCGGGATAAGGGGCCACCCGGTGCTCTCAGCTGCCCGACTCGTGTCCGGTGCCACACGTCCGGCACCGACTCCACGGCGGCTGCAGATGGGACTCCCTCGGGCAGGTGGGCGTCTGTGCCGGCCCCCAGCCGTTGCCGCCACGCCTCCCAGACGCCCCCTCCCTGACATGAAGCGGTTCGCTCCCGGCCCAGGGCTAATCTGGCGGCTGCCGGGCTGGCACCCAATGCCGGCGGGTGGGTCGGGCTGCCCGCGGGAGACCCGGGCCGGGGGGTGCGGGGTCCTGTAGGATGGCCGCCACAGAGCCCCTGACCCAGTGCTGCAGAGCCAGGGCGGGGAGGCCCTCGGACCCCCAAGGGCGTCGCCGGGGAAGATGCGCAGAGGAACCCCCATCCCTGGCCCCGGGGATAGCCTGCTCAGGAAAGCCGGGTACGAGCCGGCTGTGATGTCCCGTTAGTGCTGGGGGCCTGTGGACCCCAGGGCTGGACGTGAACTCGTGAACTCGGAAGGCGGCTTCCCGGACGAGCTTCCTAGAGGAGGCTGGAGGCAGCCTCCCTGAGGTCGTGCCCCACGACCTGAGGTTGATCCCCAGGACCATCCAGATGCGGGACCCGGATGAGGGCACCGCAAGAGGCAGGTGCTACCCCTGATCCGGTGAGGGCATCTAGGAAGCCTGGGGCAGGGACCCCCGGGGCCCGAAACGCTCCAGGCACGGCCTGCTGCTCCCACCATCGGGGCTGAGTGGGAAAAGCTGTCCTGGCGAGGCTCCGGGGAGCTGCCCACCCACCAGGCTCCGCGTCGGGTTAGCAAGGACCACGGGGCTGGAGCCGCGGGCTGGCAGTGTGGGCACGGCAGCCCAGAACGCAGAAACAGGCGGCCGCCCTCCTCAGAAGGGCGGCAGAAGCTTCGCCAGGCTGGGGGGCCACAGCTGGGGTTCCTGACATGACATCCCCTGACGCTGGCAGTGCCCCTGTGGCCTCGGGGCCAGCCCAGCGCCCCCTGCTCTCTCTGCCAGGAGCTCAGCGGGCCTCGGGGCCCCGGGCAGCCCCCCAGCTCAGGCTGGCGCCCCTGACGCCTGGCTGCACCGGGCCTCGTGGCAGTCAAGGGCAGTAACCCTCGGCCTCCCCAAGAGGGGCTCTTATGGACTCCGCTGTGTCCCCCACGTTCCCATGTTGAAGCCCTAACCCCCGGCCAGACGGGCTTGCCTGAGCCTCGTACGGACGCACCGGACCCACTCACCTGAACCTCATATAGACGCACTGGAGCCACAGCCAGGCCAGCAACAGCATCACCAGCATGTTGGGAAAGGCAAAGCCAAACCAGGAGGCGAAGTTCACCAGGTCTTTGCTGTCCGGAAACAACCTGAAGGGAGAGACACAGAGCTGTGCACGGTGGCCCCGGGGTGGACGCTGAGACCGGGCCTCGCCACACACAGAACAAGACCGGGGGGTGGCTGACCGCCCTGCCTGAGCACCCGGGCCCCCCTGGGGACCTCGCAAAAGTCAGGGCCTCGCCTACACACAGGAGCCGGCCAACAGCTTCAGGGCTCCACGGGTGAGGTGGGGGAGCGGGGGGGCCCTGGGAAAGCCACCCTCCCGATCCTCCTGGGGCTGGCGGAGGGTCACTTCTGCGGCGGCCGGCCCTCTGCCCCCAGGCACCGGCTCCCTTAGACACAGCCTTCCCCGCTCGGCTGCCTTTCCCAGAGGAACTCCGGGGAGAACGGTAAGGCCATCGTTATAGAAGGTCCTCGAAGATCCAAACAGTCTGCGTGTTGGGCCTCAAGTGTCTTCGGGCTAGGCTCCTTCCCGCCTCCCAGCTGTCCTGCCTGCTGGCCTGGTCCAGCGGGTAGCTGCCCGTCAGGGCCCCTCACTCGGTGATCCCAGCCCCACCCGCACCAGCCGGGCCCAGGAGGAGATTCCTCAAGGCCTGTGTCCCTTTGTGGCCAGGGCGGGAACGTGCCCACCAGCCCTGAGAGTTTTCTGCAGCCCCTTCAAGGGCGCTTAGAGGCAACAAGTAACCTGACCTGTGACCCTCCCATAGGGCACCACCGTTAACAGCCGGGGTTGTTAACGCATCGAGCCCGCTGCCAGGGGGCTTCTGTGTCTGTTTTCTGCAAGTTTGACGGGGACCCGGCCTCTCGCGCCACACTGTCGTTTCCCTCGACTTCAGCTCCGTATTCAGGGTGCGTTCCCGTCGGAGCGAGAGCCTGGGGAGGAGGGCAGGACTCGCCCCAGAGCAGAAGCCAGCCTGTGGGGTCTCGAGCAGGGCTGTCCGGCCCCGGCCCCAGCCCCGGCCCCAGCTGAGAAGGAAGGAGAGCTGGGGGCCCCCCGGCCCCGGGCCCTCCTTATGTCCCCAGAAGGCAGGCCCGTGACTCACTCGTGCATCTGGCCCAGGAGCACCACGTTGGGCCCCGTCCCTGTCAGTGTGGCGGTCCCTCCGATGCTGGCCGCGTAGCACACGCACAGGGTCATGGCCTTGCGCACGCTCCTCCGGTCGCGGTCGGCCCGCAGCCCCTCGGGGGGCCCTTCGAAGGTCACTTGGCTCCCTGTGGGGGGCACGCGGCAGGCTGAGCTCCAGCGCCTGACCTTGCCCCGGGCCCCTGCGGCCAGCCTCCACCTCCTTCCAGGAGCTCAGCTCCACACAAATCCGGCAGCTTCACACATGCCCTTCTCTCCTGGTGCCCTGTCCCTGCTCAGGCTGTTCCCTCCGCTGGGGGACAGGGACAGCCCTCCGAATCCACCTCAGGGCCCTCTCTCCCCGCAAGGCCCGTCCCTCTCCAGCGCTCCCTCGGCGTCCGGCCGACCGCCGAGGCATCCCTGGGTCAGATGAGCCTCGCCGGGGGCCTCCCTACCCGGCCTGCCGGGCTCTGCCGTCCCCGGGGAGCGTGTCTGTGCACCTCTGTAGCCGGAACCCGGCCCGGGGCCCGGCGACAAGGCCATCGCCCCCCCACCCCGGGGACGTGCGGTGAACGCGGCAGAGAATGAATGAGACGGGCGCTCTCTGGCCCGCCCCGGGGCCTCCCCCCGCCCCCCCCCCCGATGCCTGTGGGAGCAGAGGCCCCCCGGGCAGGGGCAGGTGCGGGCAGGGGTGAGGGGCACCCGGGCCGGGGCTCACCTGGCAGCTGGCCGGCCCTGCCCTTGTCTGCCAGCTCCAGGGCCCCCAGGCCGGCCTCGGCGGAGCCGGCGGTCTCCATCTGCTGTAACATGGCCTCCACGATGGGCACCATCATGGCCGTGGTGGCCGTGTTGCTGATCCACATGGAGAGAAAGGCCGTGACGCCCATGAAGCCCAGCATCAGCCTGTTGGGGGGGGGGGTGGCAGGGAGGGAGGTTCCCAGCATCAGCCTGCAGAGGTGGGGAGGGCAGGGAGGCCACAGGTTCCCCCGGCCCCCCCCCTCGGGAGCCAGCGGGGGACGGGACAGCCCTGCAGGGGTGGCAGGGGCCGGGGCCGAGGCGTGGAAGCCGGTGTGAGACCGGATGGTGTCGGAGGGGGTCACAGCTATAGTGTCTCCCCCCACAACCCTCCCCACAAACATTCTGACACCCCTGTGCCGGCTACGGGGTCACCGAGAGCCTCAGACCCAGTCACAGCTGTAAGGGGCTCCCATCCAGCAAGTGAGCGCCAACATCCAGGTGGAGCCGGCCCAGTGGGGAGAGCTGGCCCCAGAGTGACCAGGCTGGGCGGCCAGCCCTCAGGGGTGGGAGCCTGCCCCCCCCCCGCTCCATCCACGCCCTCTGCCCCCTCCACTCGGCAGTGGACCAGGACCACAGACTGTTCTGGAAACATGTCCCTTTACTGGTAACACCCCACCTTCCCCAGCGTCTAGACTGGCTCCTCGTGGAGAACCTGTCGGACCGCAGCCTTCTCCGCGGCCTCCCTCCCAGCTCCCGCCACCAGGGCCCAGCACATCCCCTCCCCCACCCCCCAGCCTCCCTGGGACATTCGTCTCTGGCCGGATCTGGAGGAACATTCCCACGTCTGCTCCCCCTTTGGCTGTGAGCAGGGAGGGTCTGATTCTTCCCTGAGGCTCCAGGGCCGGGACTGGAAGGCTGGGGGGGAGGGGGGGTTGGCTGAATGGGACTCCGCTGCTGGTGGTCTCCGTGCTCCTGTGGGCCAGACCCCTCCCCGAGGTCTCCAACCGGCCCGAGGAAGGATCCAGGGAGGTTCAACAGGTGTCCACGCAGGTGGGCCCCATGGACCCAGAAGAGCAGAGGCCAGGAGGAGGCCACGTCTGCATGAGTCAAGACCCCACGGAGGCTCAACAAAAAGCCCCCCCAGGACGGGCAGTGCCGTGGACGGCCGGAGCCCGAGCTCCCAGGAGGAGTGGAGACCAGTGTGCGGCCGTCCCGGGTCTGGAAGGCAAATCTGTGCGGCTCACTCCAGAACGAGGTCCACCTGCTTGTGGAGAAGCCACACCCTCCAAGGATCCCGAGAGTGAGGATTCTGAGAATTCTAGAATTCAAGCCTCTAGACTACGCGGGGGCTCTGCATTTGACCCCGTAGAAGCTCCCTGCAGAAGCTCCAGGGAGCGTGACAGATCGGGGGCCGGGGTCTGGGAGTGCCCGGCACGACCCCGGCACATGGACTCCCCAGGAGGGATGTACCGGGAATTCACCAGCCGCTGCCTCCGGAGGCCGGGCTGGAGACACAGGGACACAGGCCTGCCTTCACTGAGGGAGCCCCAAGAGAAAGGTGCGGCCTGAGTCCCCAGTTAGAGGCTCAGGCCCGTCCGACCCCCATGTGGCCGTCAGCAGTCTTTAGCCTGAGGGCAAGGTGGCAGGTGCTGCGATCAGGGTCAAGTGCTCCGCCCGCCCGGGGTCTGCAGGTGCTCTCACCACACCCAGGGGGTCCCGCTATCGTCACCTCCATGGGATGGCGGGAAGAGGCCTGTGGCGGGCAGGGGGGACCTTGCAGCCATGAGAAAGTGAGGTACTGAGTGAGGTGGGGGGAAATGACATAGTGGCTTCTCTGCGGCGGGGGGGCGGGGGGAGTGCATGTGCCAGCTTCGGAGGGGCGGCCTTTCTGTTTCCCCTTGAACTGGGCTGTTGACCCGCCCATTTCCTGCTTGATCCAGCCTCCACCCGCTCGGTTCCCTGCGGGACCTGCAACCCCTCCCCCAGGTCCTCTGAACACACAGGGGCCTTCCCTGCCCAGTCTCTTCTGCATTCAGAGGACCTTTACTCCCCGCTGCTCACACGCGCCACCCAGGGGTCCACTGCCTGCCAAGCCCTGGCGGCCGGCCCTCGCCCGCGGGGCATCTGGTGTGGCGCGTCCCGCCCCGGCCCGGCCGTGCAGAGCCCTGTGCCGAGAGAGAGAGAGAGAGAGAGAGAGAGAGAGAGAGAGAGAGAGAGGGCGCTCACTGTGCTGGCTTGGCCCCCACCCACAGGAGCGTGCGCAGGGCTATCCTCTTGTGCAGATTCCAGCGCTCCACGGCCACGGCCATGATGAGGCCGCCCAAGAACAGCATGTTGGTGTCCTTCATGTACTGGATACACACCTGGAGGACAGCACGGGGCCCATTAGGGCCACCCCGGCCCCGGGACCGGCCAGCAGGCCGGGCCGCCCGAGTGGGGACGGAAGGTCAGGAGGTCCGTCCGCGGGCCAGACCCGTCGGGTCCCCAGGGGGCCGGGCAGCTCCGACAGGGGCTCGGGGAGTGCGCCACGGGGCAGACGCAGCATGCCGCCGGGGGCCCCCGGGGGCGCTCACCTGCTTGGAGTCCAGAATCTTCAAGAGCGGGAAGAGCAAGGCCGGCATGAGGGAGGTGACGGCCAGGGGGATGACCTCCGTGCACCAGTACACGGCCATGAGGATGATGACGTAGGCACACCTGACGAACTGAAGGAGCAGCCCTGAGGCCTCGGCACCTGGTGCCCCCTTCCCCCACCAGGCACACCCCCCCTCCCCGCCAGCGGCTGCGGGCACAGCCGGAGCAGGCTGCCGTAGTCAGAGGGCCTGCCCTCGGGCCGCCCCACCGGCACGGCCTCCCCGGCCCAGGACCCGAGGGGACCCAGGACCTCGTGCCCCTGCCTCCCAGCTGGGTCCTGGGCAAGCCCTCGCACCTGTGCAGGACAGATGAAGAGAGGGGGCGTGGAGGAAGAGGGGGGAGGGGGAGGACGACGACATCGAGGACGAGGACAGAACACAGAGGTCCCCTGGCTTCCCACGGTCCGACCCAACGGTTTTGCGACCCTCCAAGGTGCCAACGTGGCCACACGAAGTAGGATCCGTATTTAGAATTCCCCGGGCTCCGCGCGAGCGGCCGGCCTCCTCTGTGACCCTGGCGACAGCGGCCTCAGCTCAGAACAACCGTTCTGCGCCCCCACGGGCCTCCTGGTTGTCACTCTCGGGACCGCACTCCACGAATTGCACAAGACATTCGACACTTTAGGTCGGAGAGGCTGGTGCCTGGACTGCGGGGCCGGCTGGTGAGCTCCAGGCGCCACGGCAGGGGCTGAAGGCTTTCTCCGCCTAGATACCTTCCACTGGCCGTGGGTTGACGGGGACACAGCCCCGTCCCAAGTCCAGGAAGATCTGCACCTGTTTAGTAACGCGCCGGTCACGCTCACAACAGCAGAGGCGACGGGGATCCTGGCCCCCTGCCGTGGAGGACGTGTTTCTTCTCGGCCGGCACGGGAGGTCGGGACCGCCCCACGGTCTCCAGGGGACCCGCTCGCCCCAACTCCTGCTTCGGCTTCTCACTGCCATCCCAAAGGGCTGCCCGCAGCGCCTGCTCCCGGAAACTAGCTGCCAACCGGCCCGCGCGGAGAACCGCCGGCGCAGGGTATTCAGGCTTGTTTTTACCACTGGGCTTTCTCATCAGCACCTCCCGTCACAGAGGCCTCGAGCTTCCGAGTGGAGTCGAGCCCTGGGCGGACCGTCCGTCGGTGCCGTTAGCCGCGTAGCCCCCGGGACCTCGGCTTCGCGGTGAGACAGGCCTGGTTCTGGCACGAGCCGGAGGCCGGCCGCTCACCGGCTGTAGGACTTGGGGCCCCGGCCCCAGCGCCTCCGGGGACGGGGATGACCTGGCCCGCCTCCCTAGGCTGGCATTTGGGGTGCCCGCCCAGACCGCCCTCTCCCCCCTCCCGGCCCTTCCCCCGAGTCAGCCACACCGGCCGCCCCTGCCCCTCACCGTGCCACCGCCCCCCTGCACCCTTCTGACCTTCCCACGTCCGGCCCCGCACGCGGTGGCTCCCTCTCCCAATCCGCGAATCTGTTCGGGGCATCCCCCACTTAAAAGCCTTCTGTTGCCTTCAGGACAAAACCCAAATGCCTCAGCAGGGCTCAGGAGACCCCCTGGGAGGAGCAGGCCCTACAGACACCGCCCCCCACCCCCGGCCTGGAGGGACCGCTGGCTGCACAGCTCCGGGGTTCTCCCCGGCCCCTCCCCCGCCCCACCCACCCTGTGTCCCCAGCAGCTCACACCCTGGGCTGTCACGGCTGGCCCCCACCCAGCACACACACCCAACAGCGACCAGCTTGGGGGCAGAGCCCAAGCCCGTGGGTCACTCTGTCCTCAGCACCCAGCACCGGCTGACACCCAGGGGCCGCTGGCCGAGTACCAATGCGGGGACAGACCAGCCGAGCCTGAGCCGTCCACCTGACGGCAGATGCACCTGTGCACGGTCACTTTCTCGTCACCCAGGCAGGAGACCACCTCCTGTGTGCAGGAAACACTGCACCAAGACCTGGAAATTCTCCATCTGGACGGTGTTGCCAGTCATAAAAAATAAACTTCCTTCGGCCTCCCAGGAGCACCCCAGGGCACTGCCCGACGGCCCGGACACTGCCGCGTGGGGACCAGCGGTTCTGCGGGGGACCGAGCCAGCCTTGAGCTGTAGACGTAGCATCCGTGGCCTCTGCCCCCACTAGACGCCAGTAGAAAGGGCCCTCTCCAGGGGTGATTGTAAAAATGTCCCCAGACTTTGCCAGACGTCCCGGGGCCCGGGGCCTGCGGGGGTCAATGCTGGTTGGAGTCGCAAGGTTCAAGGTAGGACTGCAGCGCGGTTAGAAGCCCAGGCTTTGGTGCTAGACAGACCCGATCCCTGTCTACTGTCTGCCACTGTCTGGCCTTCAGGGTCCCTGATGTGTCTGCACCTTGGTTCCATGGCGGGGGGAGGCTAGGAATGATCCCCTCCAGCGGCGGACAATAAGGAGGTACGTTGTAGAGACTTTAAAAACAGCAACGCTGTCCCCAAATCCTTCTCTTCGTCATCATCCTGCCGTAGCAATGCTCAGCAAGGTCGCGGATACACCCCCCGCCACTCCCAGCCTGGCCCTCTCCCGGCTCGTGCCCAGCCAAGAGCACCCATTAACGTCCGGTGTGCAGAGAGGGCTGGGTGTGACTCATGTCGTCTAAACTCAGCAACGTGACATGTGTAACCACTTTTCACGGCCCGGTCCCTGGAGGCACCAAATATAACCCGCTGGGAATGCGTCTGGAAGGGAGCTTAATTCCGAGAGAAAGGTGGACAGTGGGAGTCACAGGGCAGTGCCCAGCACGCAGCGGGTCAACAGCCGTCTGCCCGATGCACAAGTGAATAAAACCATGGCTCATTATGAAACTAATTAACAAGCAAGGGTGTCTGTGACACGGTGCTTTACGGGGAAACGTGGGTGAGAGCACATCTGTGCGTGGGTGTGTGTTAGGGCACTTAAGGGTGTTTTCATGTTCATATTATATGTAACAGACCTTGCAATTAAGAATTTTTAAATAATTTTGGGGCACCTGGGTGGCTCAGTCGGTTGAGCGTCCAACTCTTAGTTTTGGCTCAGGTGGTGATCTCGCGGTTGGTGGGTTCGAGCCCCGCGTCCGGCTCTGGGCTGACACTGTGGAGCCTGCTTGGGATTCTCTCCCCCTCTCTCTGCCCCTCCCCTGCTCGTGCTCTGTCTCTCTCTCTCTCTCTCTCTCTCTGTCTGTCTCAAAAATAAACATAAAAAAAAAACTTAAAAAAAAAGAATTATTTAATAATTTTAACAAAACAAACAATAGGATGAACATATTGTTTATTTTGTTAAAGAGCAACCTTCTCGGGGAAGGACCCAGAGAAAACCCAAGAAGTGGAGCAGAGATGAAGCCAGGAAGGATCAAGGTGGAAAAGGAGCAAAGCCGGGGGGAGGGCCGGGCACCAGCAGAGAGTGGCTGCCTGGGAGCC